GCTGCAAGGCTTAGTTCATTAGTTTAAAAGACTGTTACACTTCTGGAGAAGAGAATATGTTTGGCATGGGTTTTGTAGATCATAATTATCTAAAAATCCAATCAAGCCATTTTCTTGATTGATTTTGGGATGAGATATACAGGCTTCAGTGGAATTAATTGCACCTCTGTAGTTTCTTAATTTATATTTTAAGCATCTGACTGCCCCACTGCTCCCACTTCTTTTGGTACATTTATTTTTTCCTCTTGCAACATACAAAGACTGACTTTGTTGTTGCTGTTTTAAAATATATCTCTCCCAGTAGCTGAAAAGCATTTTACAGAAGGTTAATTTTAAGTCTCAAAAATGCTGTTGGTCAAGCAGGTAGACTTTTTTGAAAACTGTAGGAGGTACTGAAATATAAAATGACACTGATCATGAACACTGATGATTGGTGGAGGAGTCTCCATGGCATGAGATCCATGTATAAGGTTTAAGAAAGTATTTTTAATAGCAGTGAAAACAAAAAATATGAGACCTAAATTACAAAAGCAGAATGGTAGCTATCTAATGGTATTATCATACTAAACCTAAACTTGCTGTTATCAAATATACCGCATGCTAACAGACCTTGATGACAAAATGTTATTCAGAAAAATGCTTCAACTTATCCGTGTTTTGTTAGCTTCATGGTACATGCTCCAGGACTGACCCAACAAAAACCATTCCAAATCAGGATCTGATGTTGCAGATTAGGAAATAATCTCAGATGCTGATTTATTATTAATCTGGTTCTGTTTCTTTTCTGTATCAGTTTCGTATCAGTTGTACAAACTGATATGTAGGCAAAAGAAGACTGAAAATTCATATGGAGGAAAGCAACAAAGCTAACAGCAAAAACGACGAGAAAGTCAGCTTTGAATTGCATCACCTCCTTACCTTCTGAATTCTCTTGGGGACTAGAGCAGTTTGAAATGGCTGATGCACTGTGAACATAACACTTACTAACTGTCACAGTAACCCAAAGTGTGAAGATGATGGTTTTGGCAAAATCAAAGGTGACTGAGTTTGGGGTTGGAGAGGGGGGTGGGTTATGTGTATCTACATCAGGAGTTACCACTGCAAGTTGGTAGTTTTGCTCTAATAGAAGAGGAAAATGGAATTTTTTTCTGTGGTATGCTTAGCTGAAATAATTTGATCTTACTCTCAAGAGTATCTGATAAAGCAATCTGGAAAAAATAGTGTTTAAAAACAACCTACTTTTACTCAATAGCTTGAAACTGTTTCAAATCTTGTTTTCACAGTGTTTGAATGGATCCTACTTCCTCTCGTAAGCAGAATGTTTTTTCAGGTTTTGGAGCACTGTAAGTGTCTAATAAGGGAACTGAATGGTGCGAACCAATACTGAGCCCTTTGGGACTTGGTTCTCTAATGGCTGGAGCAACTCTATTGCCAGCGGCTCTTGTAAATACACAGGGGACTGTATGGACTGCTGCACCTCTGGTTATTAATCTGCAACCCCAAATGCACCTCTTTCCTTGTTCCCTTGAGGCAGAATGTTTTTGAAAAAAATAGGGACCAAGTTTGCTAGATATTAACCACACATTACCTGAATAATAGCTGTTTAAAAACTCTCTGGTTTACCATTTATTTTTTGCTACTCACCAAGGTTTCTCTTTCCTCTGTGATTTCAAACATTTTATAATGTAGTAAAAATGTTCTTTAGTAGAAATTTTAGTATCTTTTCCAAAAGTTGTGCTGTCTTTTATAACTGTGATTTAGTAGGCATGCTATGCAAGAGCCATTTGTATCAACCTCCTTTATTGGCCCTGCTTCAGGAAGAGAAGAGAAAAATTAATGGTGTTGTCCTTCCAGACATGAGAACCTTTTTCAGAGAATACAAACTCTGGTGGATTTTGCTAACTTCATCTTCTAATCTAGGTACTTATTTTGTAGAAGTTGAAAAACTGCAACAATCACACTTTCATAAACCATGTATCCAATGCTGTAAAGTAAAAAAGAAATAGTTTGCATGGATTTTCATTCCAACAGTGTATAAGGAAAAGTGTTGACTGGAGTCTTCATTCATTTGCAGCTACACAGTTCAGGCCAAGATCAGCAAAGCTGAGGCCTACTGGTAACGGGAGGTAATAAAGGAGTAAGAGCAAAGAGAACCAGTAAGAAGTGGTAAGTGATGTAAAAAATGCAAACCTGCTATCCTACTGTTTTAAGAATTAATGTGCAGTTACATTTTAAATCACAAGTAACTGCAAAACCAAACATCTGTGTTACTGTCTAGCAAAATGCCAGAGCTCCTGAAGTAAGCTGTAGATTTTGTATTTAAAGGATTGGTTCCTTTCAATAGGATTTACAGTTTAATCACAGAAACATCTCGGTTGGAAAGGACCCTGGAGATCATCTAGTCCAACCGTTCGCCTAGCACAGTTCCCACCTACAGCAGATCCTTAGGCTCCAACTCGACCCGACTCTTGAACACCTCCAGGGATGGGGACTCCACCACCTCCCTGGGCAGCCCATTCCAACGCCCAACAACCCCTTCTGGAAAGAAATGCTTCCTGACATCTAGTCTGAACTTTCCCTGGGGCACCTTGAGGCCATTCCCTCTTGTCCTGTCGCTTGTTACTTGGTTAAAGAGACTCATCCCCAGCTCTCTGCACCCTCCTTTCAGGGAGCTGTAGAGGGCGATGAGGTCTCCCCTCAGCCTCCTCTTCTCCAGACTAAACCCCCCCAGTTCCCTCAGCTGCTCCTCACAGGACATGTGCTCCAGACCCTGCCCCAGCTCCGTTGCCCTTCTCTGCACACGCTCGAGTCATTCAATGGCCTTTTTGGAGTGAGGGGCCCAAAACTGAACCCACTCATCGAGGTGCGGCCTCACCAGTGCCGAGGACAGGGGTCAGATCCCTTCCCTGTCCCTGCTGGCCACGCTATTGCTGACACAAGCCAGGATGCCATTGGCCTTCTTGGCCCCCTGGGCACACTGCTGGCTCCTGTTCAGCCAGCTGTCAATCACACCCCCAGGTCCCTCTCTGACTGGCAGCTCTCCAGCCACTGCTCCCCAAGCCTGTAGCGCTGCTGGGGGTTGTTGTGGCCCAAGGGCAGCCCCCGGCATTTGCCCTCAGTGAAACTCCCCCAGTTGGGCTCAGCCCATGGCTCCAGCCTGTCCAGGTCTCTCTGCAGAGCCTCCCCGCCCTCGAGCAGATCAACACTCCCACCCAACTGGGTGTCACCTGCAAACTGACTGAGGGTGCCCTCGATCCCCTTGTCTGGATCATCAATAAAGATGTTAAACAGGAGTGGCCCCAGCACCCAGCCCTGGGGGACACCACTTGTGACCGGCCGCCAGCTGGACCTCCCCGGTCAGCCAGGACTGCTGGTAAATGATGGAGAGTGGCCTGGCGCGCACCCAGCCAGCTCCTTCAGCACCCTCGGGCGTATCCCATCTGGTCCCATGGACTTGTGTGTGTCTGTGTGATGCAGCAGGTCACTGACTGTCTCCTCCTGAAATGTGGGGGGGTTGTTCTCCCAGTCTCTGTCTCCTGACTGAGGAGGCTGGATTCCCTCAGTACAACTGGTCTTGTTATTAAAGACTGAGGCAAAGAAGGCATTAAACACCTCAGCCTTTCCTCATCACTTGTTACCATGTTTCCTCCTGCATCTAGCAGGGGATGGAGACTCTCCCTCACTTTCTTTCACTACTGACACACTTATAGAAACTTTTCTTGTTATCCTTGATTGCAGAGACCAAATTAATTTCCAGCTGGGCTTTAGCCCTCCTGATTTCTGCCTTGCACAGCCTCACAGCCTCTCTGTAATCTCTGTGAGTGGCTAGCCCTTCTTCCAAAGGCTGTAAACTCTCCTTTTCTCCCTGAGTTGCAGCCAAAGCTCCCTGTTCAGCCAGGGTGGTCTTCTCTGGCATCGGCTTCTCTTAAAGCACCTGGGGACCGCCTGCTCCTGAACCATTAACACTTCCTCCTTGAAGAGCGCCCAGCCTTCCTGGGCCCCTGTGCCCTTCAGGAGAGAGGTTGTAGACAAGAGTTATGTTCTGTGTTTGTATGGCAACAGATACATCAATTTTAAAGAGTATTTTTAAAAACCCTAGAAATAAATAGACATGCTTTCTTGCTACCTATGTAATCACCGATCCATGACCAGCTGTCAATCTGTAAGTAATTAAAAAAAAAAAAAGAAAAAAGGCAGCAAGTGGAATTCATTGCAGTTGGAAACTCCTAAGGCAGTAATGAAGTAAAAAATTTGAGGATATGTTGGACTGCTGTTTAAACTAGTGGCTCATTCAGTATTTACAACTGCTGTGAACTGAGTCTGCTGTTTAATTGTGGCCTTCTTGCTGGAGATAGAGCAATGCTGTAGCCCCTCAGGCGATGTTCTACTAAATGTACCAACACACTACAACACTGTACCACACAGTGAGTAACTAGGTGTGTTTCCTCTGGATTTTCCTTCCCTGTCCCCCCTGCCCCCTCTCCACTATTCTTTGAATGATGAATGTATTACAGCAAGGAAGAATAGTAGGATCACTACTCTATTAGCCCCAAATTAGCTTTTCCAATCTTACTCATTCTTCACATAATTTGACAAAGAGATTTGCTAATGGCTTAGCACCTTCAATAACCCTTTCTTCTACAAGTTGGTTTGAGAAAGACAGATTCTGCGATTGCTGGGGGAGCTCTGCAAATCAGGGAAGTGCTTAGGCGTCTTAAAATAAATACCCATCTTGTGCACAGAATAACTCCATCACTTTTTCCACTAGTTTTGCCCTCTGTCGCTCAGTTAAAACTACCTGCCTTTGATCTCAATATGGCAACAATTTATTGACAGTTGAGTTGTAGCTGGTCACTATTAATTTAATTATCAAAATGTCTGAGGACATTTACTGTATTTTGTGCTGGTAAAAGAGGCACTTTAGTGATCCATTCAAGGCAGTTCCAATAGCACAATAAAGGTTGCCACTAAAGTCAACAGGAGTCAGCATATAACTTCAAATTATTTTTATTGGCAGGTTTTTTTACAAGCATTTGTCTTTTATTACTTTCACTAAAATAAAGCATATAGCATACAGTGATTTCACACATTTAGGAGATAAATAAGTGTATCTTGAGTTCTTTAATGCATTTATAGTTTATGTAATACAAAGCTTTTTCTTCACTAAAGTAAATTTTAAATACAGCTTGTTTGACCTTTTATTAAGCAAACTTTTACCTTCTTAGCATATGTTTCCCTTGTTAACTTAAAGATGTTTAAACAAAATTGCAGAAGTGCAGTGATATTTATTGCTAGAGATAAAAAGTTGCTGTATTAGGATGAAACCTGCATATCAAGTTATCGACTGGTAAACCAAAAAAACCCCTTAATGTACGCCATCAATTGAAGTGATACAGAAAAACTTTAAAGAATAACAACTATTGAATTTTTGCCTCTAATTTGTGTGTGTGTGTAGAATAATAAAAAATAATCAAATTTTCCTGTTTCCACACTGATTGGTATTCATGTTAATCATGGTATTTTCTGTATTTCATTTAGACTTTACAATAAACTTGTTCGTAATTATAAATAAATAGAGGTATAAAGTCAAAATCTCATACTGCATTTCTCTTGAAATTACTATGTTAAATTTAAGATCATAAGTACAATCCCATTCAACTTAATCAAATATCATATGACTAGCTTCATGTACTCAAGAGTTTCATGCTTCATAGTTGAGAAAGGAAAAACTTAGGTGGCACTTAGTATCTTTAATGGCACTTCTTTGAGCAAAGGATAGTGTGCATTTGTATTACTAGCCAGGGTTACCCTTCAAAACAGTATTATAATATATGCATGAAAAATACACAGAACACTAAATAAAGCAACACTTCCTATGTTGTGCTTCAAGCTTTAGCTGATGGTACAAGGATCGTCATTGCTTGGTTTCATTTCCCCTTCCAGCAATAAAGTGATCACAGCTTTACTCAAGTAGCTGCACGTTCCCTTTTTTCCAGCTGGGTGAGTGTTGTAGAACGCAGTCATGTCATCCTGCAGGAGAGGGAAAAGATGTTTCCATTAGTGGTCATTATGTAAAGCAGCCAAACACAAGCAAATAAGAGGAACATCAAAAATATGTTAAATGCAGATATGTTTTTCAGTCTCTATAATTCTGCTCAATTTTCAGAACTGTCCCATATATACTTACCTGAACATGTGGAAAACAGATTACTAAAATGCATTGCTTATATTTCTTTATTGAATTTTCCAGTCCTGTACAGATACCACCTTCTTAATAGTTTTCTTAAATGTAAAAGGTGTCAGGGAACAACTGCTCTCTTAAAACATGCAGGCGGACGACTACTATGCTGTAACTTACTGTGCCACCACAGTATGATTGTGAGCCAGGTCCTTAGGTGTACATGCAGAGATACTGACTAAAGATCTATTTGGAAGAATAAAAAAAAATTTTTTACATCAAAGAACCAAACCACAGGTAGCACATGAACTAATTCATTAATCAGATCAACAAAATAGGTATCCTTCACTGAACACCTGTTTTGCATAGTTAATGATGCTAAAACATCTGCTTAGTCTCAAATTATATATTGGCTGCTATAATAAAAGGTTCAACACTCTAATCAGGAAATTGGTTACTTTTATTAAACCAAGGGCAGAAACTGTGTGGTGAAAATATTAGACTTCTGTAGTTTATGGGTGTGTTTGAAATTACTGGAGTAAATACTTTATTACATTTATTACACATTAACAGGGAATTAACAAAGTTCAAACTATTTGCAAGTCAGTTTAATAAAAAAGCATAGTTAAGATGAACAGGAGTTCTTTAAGCAGTGTTTCTTAGGAAAACTTGAGACAGGATATCATCAGAACAGTCCTAAGCAGCTACAGTTAACTGCCAGCATATACTTGGGAATATGTGACAGTCAGGTTCCAGAAAATTTTAATGTAAGAAGTTGGAATTTCCAACAACATATTCACAACTATAAATTGAAATTTCTTTCTAAAAGACAAAAAGGCACCACTCTAAGCAGATTTGAGCTTGGAAAAAATCCATTACTTCAATGGAGGTTAGGACAGCACTAGTGAAAACTGGATTTTGCATGGATTTTTTCTTTCTTATAGCTATTGGGGATTTCCAGCTTGTCACAGAATTCAGTAGCATATTCAAGATCCTGTGCAGAGCTGGCACTTCATAGCCAATTGTGTAGATGGTAAGTTTGATTTTGCTGTAGCTGCAACCACAGAGTCATTACCCTCCAAAATAAGCAGGCCAAAACAATCATAATTTCAAGAAAATTGTGTCCTTTTAGAAACAGGTATTGTGCAAGGTGATGTGTTGCTAAGGCTGGATATCTGGCTTGCTTTCAAATCTTATTACAAAATGTAGTGGCAAAAAAAGTGAACCTTGAAACTTTTGAAAGAATTCTTAAGGAGCACATCCTTCCTCATCTTTTAAAGGAGCTAAATTCAGCACCAGGAAGTGCTGTTGTGTATCAGTATGTTATGAATCAATAGATTATTCAGAGCTAGCACAGATATCTCCAAATACATCGTGTACAATAAATGCCAGACAGAGCAAGGAAGATCATCCTCAGTCACACAGGGACTTGGTCCCACTGCTTTACTCATACTTCCTCTATTAACAGTTGCTGTTATTACAGAATTTCAGAGATTTTAGGCACCAAATATTTAGAAGTCTTTAAAGCATAAAACCTAAAATCCTACTGAGGTATATCTTAAAATGTACTTAATGATCAAGTTTCACTTATTTGGATTTTAAGACTTAGAGATTAAAAGTTTGCTAGGGTCATGAACGCAACCCTAGCACAAAAATCAGTAGCTAAGAGCAGTTTCGCATTTAAAGTTCCTACATTAGCACTGTTAATATGAATTCTTTGATTACTTAATTTTTCTTAGCATCTGTGTACAAAAGATCTTAAGTTCACACTCCTTTGCTGAGCTTTAGTTTTTTTCTTCATTTTTTTGTTATGCTTAACTCTTCTCTATTCTAGGGTCCCCCCTAACTAATTCTTTCCCCTTTAATGAGTATTATAACTATTACAGCTTTTCTCAGACTCTCATTTCAGAACTATGTAACATTGTGAGTGTTCTCCTTACCACACCAGTTTGAATTCACAATTCAGCAATAAAGCAAGTGCACATCTTTTATCTCTGTTTATAGGCTCTTTGCAGACTTATGGAGCACTTGGGTATGTTAATTTATTATTAGTGTTCCATTCTGAAATCCTATCAATGATTGGAGTGGCATCATCGATCTTACTGGCATCATGGAGATGTGGTGGGATGGCTCCTGTAACTGGAGTTTTAGAATGGAAGGGTACAGGCTCTTTAGGAAGGAGAGGCAGGAGAGACAAGGAGGTGGGGCGTCACCCTCTACGTCAATGACCAGCTGTACTGCACGGAGCTCCGCCTGGGGATGGATGAGGGTCTGATTGAGAGCTTATGGGTCAGGATTAAAGGGGAGGCAGGGACAGGAGACGTTATAGTGGGGGTCTGCTACAGGCCACCCGACCAGGAAGACCCAGTGGATGGGGCACTCTATAGATGGATAGAAGCAGCCCCATGGTCAGAAGTCCTGGTCCTCACGGGGGACTTCAAGCACTCCAGTATCTGTTGGCGGGGCAACACAGCAGGGCATAAGCAATCCAGGAGGTTCCTGGAATGCCTTGATGATAACTTCCTTCTCCAAGTGCTAGAGGAGCCAACAAGGAGATGTGCTATACTGGACCTTGTTCTCACCAACAAGGAAGGGCTGGTGGGGAGTGTGAAGCTCAAGGGCAGCCTCGGCTGCAGTGACCATGAAATGGTGGAGTTCAAGATCCTTAGGGCAGTGAGGAGGGCGCACAGCAAGCTCACTGCCCTGGACATTGGGAGAACAGATTTTGGTCTCTTCAGGGATCTGCCTGGTAGAGTAGCATGGGATAAAGCCCTGCAGGGAAGAGAGGTCCAAGAACACTGGTTAATACCTAAGGATCATCTCCAAGCTCAGGAATGATGCATCCCAACAAAGAGGAAGTCAGGCAAAAATGCCAGGAGGCCTGCATGGGTGAACAAGGAGCTCCTGGACAAGCTCAAACACAAAAAGGAAGCCTACAGAGGGCGGAAGCAAGGACAGGTAGCTTGGGACAAATGCAGAGAAACTATCTGAGCATCCAGGGATCAGGTCAGGAAGGCCAAAGCCTTGACAGAATTAAATCTGGCCAGGGACATTAAGGGCAACAAAAAAACATTTTTATAGGTACATCGGTGATGAAAGGAAGATTAGGGAAAATGTGGGCCCTCTCCAGAAGGATACGGGAGACCTAGTTACCCAGGATATGGAGAAGGCTGAGGTACTCAGTTACTTTTTTGGCTCAGTCTTCACAAGCAAGTGCTCCAGCCACACCCAAGACAGCGAAGGTTAAGGCAGGGACTGGGAGAATGAAGAAGCACCCACTGTAGGAGAAGATCAAGTTTGAGACCATCTAAGGAACCTGAAGGTGAACGAGTCCATGGACCTGATGAGATGCATCCACAGCTCCTGAAGGAACTGGTGGATAAAGGCGCCAAGCCACTATCCATCACATTTGAGAAGTTGTGGCAGTCTGGTGAAGTTCCTGCTGACTGGAAAGGGGGAACATAATTCCCATTTTTTCAAAGGGAAAAAAGGAAGACTCGAGGAACTACAGGCCAGTCAGTTTCACCTCTGTGCCCAGCAAGATCCTCCTGAAAACTGATAGGGCACATGGGAAATAAGGAAGTGTTTGGTGAGAGCCAACAAGGCTTCACTAAGGGCAAATCATGCCTGACTAATCTGATGGCCCTCTACGACAGGGTTACAGCGTTGGTGGATAAGGGAAGAGGAACGGACATCATATACCTATACTTGTGCAAAACTTCCGACACTGTCACACATGGCATTCCTGTCTCTAAATTGGAGAGACATGGATGTGACGGATGGAGCACTCGGTGGATAAGGAACTGGCTGGATGGTCACACTCAAAGAGTTGCCGTCAACAGCTCGATGTCCAAGTGGAGAGCAGTGACAAGTGCTGTTCCTCAGGGGTCGGTGCTGGGACCAGCGCTGTTCAACATCTTTGTTGGTGACACGGACAGTGGGATGGAGGCACCCTCAGCAAGTTTGCCAACGACACCAAGCTGTGTGGTGCGGTCGACACGCTGGAGGGAAGGGATGTGCCATCCAGAGGGACCTGGGCAGGAGTGAGAGGTGGGACCGTGCAAACCTCATGGGGTTCAACAAGGCCAAGTGCAAGGTCCTGGCCATGGGTCGGGGCAATCCCCAGCACAAATCCAGGCTGGGCGAGGAGTGGGTTGAGAGCAGCCCTGAGGAGAAGGATCTGGGGGTATGAGTGGATGGAAAACTGACTGTGAGGCAGCAATGTGTGCTCGCAGCCCAGAAAGCCAACCGTGTCCTGGGCTGCAGCAAGAGCAGTGTGGGCAGCAGGGCGAGGGAGGGGATTCTCCCCTTCTAATCCGCTCTCATCAGACCCCCCCTGCAGTGCTGTGTCCAGCTCTGGGGACACCAAACATAAGGAGATGGATCTGTCCGAGCAGGTCCAGAGGAGGTCACAAAGATGCTCAGGGGGCTGGAGCACCCCCCTGTGAGGACAGGCTGAGAGAGTTGGGGGTGTTCAGCCTGGAGAAGAGAAGCTCCGGGGAGACCTTAGAGCGGCCTCCCAGTACTGAAAGGGGCTGCAGGAAAGGTGGGGAGGGACTCTGCATCAGGGGGTGTAGGGATAGGATGAAGGGCATTAAACTGAAAGAGAGTAGATTTAGATTAGATCTAAGGAAGAAGTTCTTCCCTGTGAGGGTGGTGAGACACTGGCAGAGGTTTCCCAGAGCAGCTGTGGCTGCCCCCTCCCTGGCAGGGTTCAAGGCCAGGCTGGACGGGGCTTTGGGCAGCCTGGGCTGGTGGAAGGTGTCCCTGCCCAGGGCAGGGGGGTGGGACTGGATCATCTTTAAGGTCCCTTCCAACCCAAACCATTCTATGATCTAAGAATAAAAAATAATTCAGAATCACACAGAACAAACATTTAAAACTAACTTCAGTAAGAATGATAAATTCTCTAAGACAGTAGTATTTTACTCACTTGTTTTTCATCTCCCTTTGGACTGCTGTGATCTTTCTGAAAGTCATGAAATGCTTCCTGCACCACTTTGTCCAAGTCCACTTTGTCCTGGAACTCTAGCTCAGGATTTCTCTCCAAAATAACAGATACAACCATCAATAACTAGAACACAGAAAAAGACCGTAAGACTTTAAATTAGATTTTTTTAAAAATTCAGGTTATATAAAAGCACTGTTAAGAATTACTAACATATGCCTCTTTCAAGCAGGAAGCCATTTACTAATGGCACATGTAATAGCGCACAGATAATATAATTCTGACTTAGATTAAAAAAAGAAAAATCACTGAAAAAGCAGGTTTTAATGGATGATTAACATTTCTGGTGACTACCTAGTTAAAGGCACTGTATAAATGATTGACATGAACATCTAACTTTACCAGGGAAGTTATTTTCCAGTTTATTCAGTTTAATCTGTGGCTGCCCAAATGCTCGTGCTCAGCATCTGGACAGGATGAAAAGCAGCAAACACTGAACCTCAGCATTTGATGTTCTAAGGCATAATCACATACGGTATAATCATACTAGGACAAAGTTTATAAAAACCAAAGTCAATAGACACTAATAAAAAGTGTTGGTTCAAGAGAATTTACCTTCCTTATATCTGAAGGTGGTTTAAAATAGGAAGGTGAACATGAGCGACCTGTTGTAATAACTACAAGTAGGTATTAAGAGTCTATATTGGTCATCTTGGGTTTTGATAATCGTGGTATCTTTTAGCAAAAATTGGGGATGTTCCAGCAAGCAGCATGACCATTAGTTGTTAGCCAAAATTGAGATGGATTTTATTTTACTGTGGAGGAATAATGCAGAAGTGACAGAGGCATATACTTGGGGACTAACAATGAATGCTGCTGATAGCACAGCTGTCAGTTACCAATGGTACAGATGCTCCTGATCTGTTCAAAAAGTATACATTATGTGCAGTGGTGGGGAAGAAGTTTCAACAGCCTCTTGCTTTACTGTTAGGTGGGAACATAAGGAAACTGGAAGTTAGTTGATTCAGTAGCATAAGGCAACTTACCGGACAACCTCAGCAAAATGGGAAAGAAGAATCTACACAGGGCAAACTGATATTTTAGAGCAGTTTTTCCCTAAATCCAAAAAACTGTTAGGAAAAGGCATGGGCTAGGGACATGAAGAAAAGCTACTTTGGAATTATTTTTACTAGTTTTCACCTCCTGTGACCTAATTGTATTGGCGCTATCATTAACACTTATCTATTTGCTAAAGAGGAAGAGCATCAAGAACTTAGTATATTCTGAACATGTTAACAGGAACCTGTTTAATCATACAAAAATTTGTGGAGAAACCACTGAAGCAAGTGTTCATATTTAAAATGCTCTTTCTTCAAATATTTGAGCCTTGGATACTTATTTTCTTTTATGCTGTAACATACTCATGTACATTATAAAATTTCATTCATTGTAGGCCACAAACCTCTACGATAATTTGTCTATATTCCGGCTGATCAATATTTTGCAGCATATCTTCAACTAGAAGGGAAAAATTCATTTCATACATCGTCATATCCGATAAGGTTGGTTGCTGAAAAACAAATAATACTTTTACTCAAAGACCATTTGCATTAAATCAAAACCACCCCCAGGCAGAGACTACATGCTTGCAGAATAAATAATACTCCAGTAAGAAATATGACTACTGCAGGATCAAAAAAGGGAGCAGATTTCAGAGTCCATGACTTGGGAAGGGTTATGCTTTTATAAATCTGTTTTAATAGAAATAAGTGACTTCCATTTTATTCTAATTGTATTTTACTCAGAACCAAAAAGAAAACTTGAAAATACTTTTTTTAGGAAAAAAATCTTACCAGGAACAAATTAGCCTAAGTAGTACATTATAGCATAAAATCAACATTAGTTATAAAACAATTCAGCATTAATAGTCAGGTGGAGCAGAAATAACTGAGCATCTCTGCTGTTTTTACCTGTGGTAGAAATTTCCCTGCCACTATTAAACCATTAGGGGTTCTTTCTAAGATCTGCCACACCCGATCATAGAATCCAGCAGGAGTTCGATTGAGACAACCGTCTATCTGTCTTCTGTTCAGCCAGCCTCTGCAAGACAAAGAACATGGAGAACTTGAAGGAAAAAACAGTTACAGATGTAGAACAAAGCCCTGTTCTGTGGTGCAAGCCAGTAAGGTAAGCAGTGACATCAAATACATATTCATGATGCATGTGCAGTATATGCTGCGCTTTCTGGTAAGTTATACTCTAAAGCAAACAAAATCAAGATGGTCAGCATATAAATTTAGAATGTTATTCTTATGTGTGTGTTTGTGCTTTAAGTAACTGGAAGAAAATAATTAACTGTGAAATCTATCCAGTACAGTAACAGTAGTAGGCTGAATTCATCAAGTCTAATCAATTTAAGTCACCATAAACGAAAACATACAGAAAACAGAAGTCACTGTGTGGTACCTATGACAGCCAAATTTATATACAATGAAAAAAATCAGTATTAATTATAATATTAGAATTTGTTTTATCATACTACAATAGGCAAAACAATTCAATATATAAACACAGCTCAATGAAATTCTGCATCTGTAAAATACAAAATGCAATAGATAATGGATTAGAAACACCTATAATTCCAATTCAAATACCAGGTTAGAAAAATGCATTTCAGCAGGATTGCTGAAGGTAGGTTTTTTATGATGATGTGCAGAAAAACAAGTGGCCTGTAAATCCAGAAAATATGACGAATCGTTTTGTTAAACTAAAGCTTTGAACAAACTGAGTCACATTCTCCATAAATTACAAATTTTGTTTGCCTTCAGAAGCATATTGTCTCTGCTATTTTTTTTTTTTAAAAAAAAAAAACCTTACAAAGATGAAGTCTGGAATTCAATTTCCATATTTTAACTTCTCAGTATTACTACAGTAATGGGGCTGTAGCCAAAATGTTTGAGACACCAAAAAAGTTTAAGAAGTGGCAGCCATGCATATGATTTTAATTGGTCGATTCACAGTACAGAATTAAATCTCATGTAGCAGTATTGCATATATTTGATGGAAGAGTCTTCCTGAAAGTTACTGTCTTTAGTTGGTTTTTAAATTTTAAGTAGAAAATCTCTTTTTATGTGGTAAGATAGTAGTGAGAGCTCCCCTAGGAAGCAAATCTCTGATGAAAAGCAACTAATACTTTTGTGTCTTCATTTAATATTCCTCCAAAAGGGCTTTCTTAAAAAATGTGCCATGTATTCTTTAGGTCACAAACAGCTCTCTTAATAACCTTAGTAAGAGGGAACAAGTAATTTAAGGATGAACCTTATTCAGAAAAGGTGGAAAGTTTCCACACCTAAATATCTGGATATTTGCAACTCAGGAATCAACACAGTATTATTACATATTATTTACCATTACGAAGTTGTTTTTGTTTTTTGTGGGTTTTTTTTTTTTTTTTAGGAAAACTACATTTAAATTGGCTTGGTAACATGGCTTTCTGTATTTCAAAGACCTGGTTCTGGTAGGCTGTTTGAAGAGAAAGAAAAAAAAAACAT